ACACACACACACAAGTGTGGAGCTTTAGTTCTTGAAAGGAAGCTGTGCCAGCAGTGTCATGTAAAAAACCCCAGATACTGGTGTCCCCAAATGACAAGTTCTGACACAAAGCTTACTACATAATGAAGACAGACTAGAAATCATAAACATGCAGAGAGGATTGAATTAAACACACTCAAAACATTGATAGGAAAGATGAGAAATAACTTGAGAAGGGTATTTTATTAATAAAGGACATCACCTGGCGTCCAGTGTTCAGAGGCCTATGATTTCTCTCATGAAATTGAAGCGTATTCAGTAATCTCTGTAGTCATCTTTGCCTACTTGCCGAAGCAAGGCTCAAAAGGTTGAAATATGGCAGGGTGTTGAGATCTTTAGCATATCAGAAATAGCCCGCTAATTTTTTTCATACCTCTTTGCAAATTCATACATAGAGTACTGTCACCACAATTGATATGAAATAATTTAATTAGCCTGTAACATTTCTTTTAATCTCTCTAAGAGAATTTACATAGAGATTCTTTAAAAATGTTTTCTAACTTCAGACATAATGCAGTATCATTTACTGGGTTCTAAGCACTTTCTATCCCACTTACAATTAAAAAAATATTGGGAACTGGAGGGGGGAAAAAGGTGTTTGTGGTAGTTACATAATCTGGTGTCAATTTGAGACTATTGAGTGTAGGGGTGGAGTTTAGCCTATCAGCCAGGTAGCTGCTTGATGACCTCATTTGGAGGTGTTAAGGAGATAAAGAACTTGCTGGAGGTGGGACACAGACACACTCCCTGGGAGACATTCTTGTTGACAAGCCATATGGAGACACACTGATGGAGCCAGAGCCCTGGAGCTGGAAGGGCCACATGGTGACCTAGACCAGCGCTGAGCTCCTTCCACTGCCAATGGATCTACAAGGCTTTCCACCCACTGGCCTGTGATCATCCTACAATCAGCATTATGGCGTGGCTGTGGAGTCCAAGGATGAATTTATGGACTAGTATTGGAATTATGGGCTAATATTGGACTTATGGACTTGATCTGGTCTGGGATGTTTCTCAATATACAATTGCTCTTTTACATAAAGCTCTTCCTTATATACATGAATGTCCATAAATTTGTTTCTCTAGTCAAACCTGGACTAACACAGTGTTCCTATTAAAATGAGAGTGTATAAGAAGATTTTTAAAGCCAGGAGGTATACGTATTTACAGTAAATGAAGTTCATGTTTTACTTGTTATCAGAATAGGATGAAATAGTATTGAACTGACTTTTCCATCACTGGACAAACCTTCACAGCAAAAATCCACCCGGTGGAGCATTTATTATTACCTGTCTTGGGGTACTGTGGGAAGATTTGTTTCAGAAATGGCTCAATAATTCTAGTGCCTGGTCCCACTGAAATCTATTTTTCATTGGGGTCCCTCTGAAATGTCGTGGCTGG